TTTTTAAAAAAAATCACTCTCTATCATAATTTTTTTTCTAAAATACATGTTAAATCATAAGATCATGTACAGGGGCTGGTACTTGTCCAGTGTCGAAAGATCAAGAAAGTTGGTGACATGACAACAGGGGAATCGACGATCGAAGCCTCGGTGAATAGTGGCCATAATTATAACAGTCCTAAAATAGCGAAATATCATGTCGGATAAGTTCTTATTCTCACAAAAGGCGTAATAATTTGGGCACTATTCTGAAACATTTAGTCAAGGGCGAATAAATTATAGATATCCATTCCACTTCAGCCTAACTTTGGTAGTTATATTTGTTCTGATCAGGGGCGGACCTATGTTTACCAGAATCCGTTAGTTTCGGCAAAAAGACTATATATATGTGGGTGAAATTACAAGTAGTTACAGTTGAAAAATAAGATGAAGAAAAATAAATAAATATTCTTCAGGCTGAGGCGCAGATATCTCGCTCTCTTTAAGGAGATTCAAGCCCACTGCGGTAGCATCTTCACCGGTCCAGCAGTAATACTCTTGACTTGTCCCCTCCAAGATACAACAGCCCGACAACGTCGTATGACTCGAACAAACTCTGGAGAAGTTGTTGAGTCCAAAGCTCCACCAAAATAAACACTTTCCTTCAACAAAAAATAATATTCTTTTCTGTAAAGAATAAGTTGTAGACTTAGATTTTCTCCTTCTCATAACTCTCTTTTTCACTACACCAACTTCACTTTCCCATACATACTACCATATTTTTTTCATCTACAACACAAGGAAGAAACACCACTATTTATAGGTGGTAAATTTCTTTCATGAAATAAATAACAAAGTAGTGGCATAATAAAGTTATAGAACATGGTTGGTGGTTACAAAATTTATTCTTTAGTGGGTAATTAGTGGTAGATCATGTCAGTAGTGGTTTCATGAGTTACACCAAAGTAATGATCACTTTCTTGCCAATTTATAACCACTATCTCACATGAAATAATGCACTTTAATATTATAATTTTAATATTAAAATGCACTAACACCAACAATATACTCCATATACAATCAAGCCTCTCTATAACAACGTCGTTTGTTTCGAAATTTTTTGGCTTTTTTATCGAATGGATGTTATACACCTATAACAACATTTGATGTTTAAATATTTTTTGGCTGTTATAGATAATACTTATCCAAAAATTAATTATATTTTTAATATTACATATAAAAGATAAGAAAATTCTTCAAATTTAAAATCTCAGAAGATATGCATATTTCACTAGGTATATATTGAATAAAGTTAATGCATTATTAATAAATTCATTAATTAAACGTACAAAGATTTAAACTCTAAGGCACACATTTTAAACCTACTAGGAAAATAAATTCTTTCAAGATTGATAGAAGAACTTTGTAATTGTAGCTGTTTTTTAGATTTTATTCTCTTTCACGGATATAATGCTTGAGTTGACGAAAATTCGTGTCTAAATTTTCAGCAAAAATGTATCTAGTAAAAAATATATCATGCGCAAATCTTCAAATCTTGTGTCTTATGCAAGATAGAAACTTTGTTCAATGGAAAAGATTGTGTGCATATTGTTAGAATTGTTATTAGTAATCTTAGAGATTCTATATAGTTGTTATAGAGGGATAATTTTACAAAGAGCGTTCTGCTATAAATATGGTTGTTGTTGTTATAGAGGGGTAAAATATAAGTAGATAAAAAGCTTTTATAGAGAGGTAAAATATAATTTAAAAAATCGATAATAAAAAAAATTTAATTTTTATAGTGAATAATTGTTATACATAGATGCTGTTATAGATATGTCTGATTGTATATCTATATGTACTACGAGGACCCCTTAAATATTTTATGCGCCCCCTAAAATCACAAAATTTGGATAGAGGAGCTGATTTGTAGAAGAGGTTAAGTACCTACACTTGCTTGATGACCCAAGTCCGAATCTTATAACTTGTACATTTTTATTTTATTTTTCCCCGTGATATTCTCCGAACCTACTCCATTATATTCGAGGGCTCTTGGCTCCTGCTCCCTAACCTTCATTTGTCACTTTAATCAAAGCTTCTTTTCTATTTTTAAATAATTTCTAAGTGCGGAGTAAATTTATTTGTTTTCATTTAGAAAATTAAAGTACTCCATTTTCGTTGTTAAAGCATTAGCACTAGTAACGCGGTTGCAGATCAATTGCTTTACGAAAGCAAAAGTATTGCACTGACTGCCCTTTGACTACGTCCTTAAATGAACATAAGGCCACATACTTTTTATTTCTCTCACTTTCTTCCCCGAATTTTCCTCAACAGGCATTGCCACGGTCCTACTTTTGAAATTAAGCTGTAGGTAATTTACTTTATTCAATTACACGATGCAGTTAGTTCCAACCGTTTAGCACAATGGTTGACATTTTTAATCCTTAAGTATGAAGCTCTTGACCAATTGCAAGTTCGACTTTCAAGATAGACTTAATTTTCTTTTAATATTTGTCCAAGTGATACATTTTCTATCACAAATTTTTGTTGATACATTTTCTATCACATATTTGTTCTCTTAGATTAACCTTTATATAATAATTTATTAGAAGATAATACAATTTTTATTTTATTGTTTTTTTTTAAATTTTGTTTGTTATGCTATTATGCAAAAGCCAAAGCTACTATTGCATAATATTGTACCAGCACCAAGGGTTGTGGTAAGGTGATAAAATAAGCGGATTATATTATCTACGGGTTCGGAACCCATTAGCTTTTACTTTAATTTTATATTTGTATTAAGAAATTTATTAAATACAACAACAACAACAACAACAATATACCCAGTATTATCCCACTCTGTGGGGTCTAGGGAGGGTAGTGTGTACGCAGACCTTACCCCTACCTTGTGAGGTTAGAGAGGCTGTTTCCAATAGACCATCGGCTCAAGAAAGCATAAGCACCGCCTTAATGGAAATATAGACACGAAGGGACAGTACCAAAAAGCCATATAAAAGCATAATAAAAACAACAAGATAGTAAGGTGATCAACAATGAAAGAAAATAACGGTTAGTCATCAAAATCTACTACCAACAGAAAGCGAAACCGCGTGCCAATACTACTGTTATGAGCACTCTAGACTACCTACTCTACTACCCTAATCCTCGACCTCCATACCTTTCTATCAAGGGTCATATCCCCAGTGAGCTGAAGCTGCGCCATGTCTTGCCTAATCACCTCTTCCCACCTCTTCTTTGGCCTAATGTCAACCTCTCACACCTTCTCACCGGGGAATCTGTTCTCCTCCTCTTCACATGACCAAACCACCTAAGTCGCACTTCCCGCATCTTGTCCTCAATAGGGGCCACACACACCTTATCGCGAATAACCTCATTTATGATCCTATCTAACCTTGTGTGCCCGCACATCCATCTCAACATCTTCATCTCTGCTACCTTCATCTTCCGGACATGAGCGATCTTGACTGACCAACACTCTGCCCCATACTCTGCAGAACTTACCCTTAAGTTTCGGTGGCACATTCTTGTCACACAAAACACCGGAAGCGAGTCTCTATTCCATCCATCCCGCCCCAATACGATGTGTGACATCTTCATCAATCTCCCCATACCCCTGAATAATAGACCCAAGGTACTTAAAACTACCTCTCCTATGGATGACTTGCGAGTCCAGCCTCACCTCACATTCCCCTCCTCGAGTCACGCCATTGAACTTACACTCCAAGTGTTATATCTTGGTTCTGCTCAACTTGAAACCTTTAGATTCCAAGGTCTACCTCCATACCTATAATTGTGCGTTTACACTGTCTCGCGTCTCGTCAATAAATACAATATCATCTGCAAATAGCATGCACCACGGCACCTCCCCTTGGATGTGGCGCGTCAGTACGTCCATCGTCAGAGCAAACAAAAAAGGGTTGAGTGTCGACCCCTGATGCAACCCCATCATAACCGAAAAATGGTTCGAGTCCCCACCGACTGTCCTCACTCGGGTCTTTACTCCATCATACATGTCCTTAATCAACCTAACGTAGACAACAGGTACACCTCTAGCCTCCAAACATCTCCACAAGAATCTCCCTTGGAACTTTATCGTACGCCTTTTCTAAGTCAATGAACACCATATGTAAGTCCTTCTTTCTCTCCCTATACTGCTTCATCAATATCAAGATAGATGGCTTCTGTTGTCGAACGCCCCAGCATAAACCCAAACTGGTTCTCAAAAATAGACACACTCATCCTCACCCTTAGCTCTACCATTCTCTTCCAGACTTTCATAGTATGGCTAAGCAGCTTGATACCCCGATAGTTATTGCAATTTTTGATATCACAAATCCATTGATTAAATAGAATCTTATATTTTTAGCCGCTCTAAAAAGTAATACTCCAACTGATAAAATGTATATATTTTTTTATTTACGTGTATTATAACACATACTCGATCCGTTTACTTTTAGTTGTGCACTTTTGACTTTACACGCTCCTTATATATTTTACCATATAACCCCTAATAACGATAGCATTTCAAAAAGTCTCAAGAAATAATTTGGGGAATGAGTAGTAAATAATAAGGGTAAAACAGAAAAGGAATTGTGTTACTCTTAATTTGTTAAAATGCAAGTAAAAGTGAAAATGTATTTTTGGTGTAGTGGACAAATAAAATTGAACGGAGGGAGTAATATATCTTTTATGTACTTTTTGGTTAGCAAATACAATAATTTCGATCGATCGACCAATTTTTTATTTTGTCCTTAATTAAAACAAGTTATGAGTTCGATAACAAGTCCAAAACTCGTAACCTCACTCCGCCTTTGGATGGTAAGCACTTTCACCCTTATTCTAGAAGTCTCGAGTTGGAGCTACGAGAATAAAGTCACCTAGAGAACTTTCATTGATGTTCAGGGGTTTGAATTTCAAAGTATAAAAAATTACTGGCCCTATAGAGCAAATACAGGAATAGTTTGCTTGCAATCTACACTATATATAATTCAACGCCTGCGGATTGGCATACGTTGTTCTGGAAAGTTGACGCTCATTGCATGACTGAGCCTTTTTCTCACCAACATAAGTGAGTTTCACTCGAACTTCCCCAATCCATAACACGTTCCCTCTAGGTAACTCTCTGCTTAATTTTTCCAATTTCACTATTTAATAGTACAATAATTTGATAAGTTCGATCTAGATCGCATGATTTTGAGCTCTACAATTTGCTGATTGTTTTCATTTCAGTGAATTGATTTATCCACTTGTAACTTTTGAGCTGTTTATTTTCACAAGTAATGATTTGTTCCTTTTTTTTTTTCTTTTCTATATTTGTGATTGGATTTAAGCTATATATAGTGATTGTTCTTTTGTATATTCGTGATTGGATTTAGCTAATACAGTGGTTGTGTAAAGATGTTTTACACTGTCAGGTCATCTACTCGTTCTTATAATTCGATAATTTCATTTATTTGATTGTTAAATAATCTAGTTAAGGTCAGCCCTATTTGCGGGGTTCTGGAAAGGGCTTGACCACATTGGGTCTGATGTATGCAGCCTTACCTTGCATGATTTATTTTTTGTATGTGATTATTAAATAACCAATATTGTAAAAAAATCTTTATACTGTCTGCATATAAAATGTTACCACATTTGAGTGTTTTTTATTGTTGTTACCGGGTTAGAGTTGAGAAAATTTCAATATTCCCCCGTGATTTATTTTTTCGTCTGAGTACGTAGTATTTTTGGGATTCTCAATGGTGAAATATTCAGGGACAATGCAGACGGTTGAGGGATTATTTAGTGTTAATGGGTGGTCAATATGGGCAATGGTGTTTGGACTTTTCATTTTCAAACATGTCTTGTTTGCTTCTAGAAACTGAAAAGCATAGTTTGTACATGATTTTTCTCTAATAACATCCAGAGGGCTAAGATTAATGAGTTAGAGGCTGAGGATTCAGTGTTGTGATACTGTGTTTTGGGCCATTATTTTGGGGAGTTCTCTCCATTTGTAAGTTCCCTTTTTTGCATTTCCTAGTATTCGTGGTGATTATATTATAGATCTCGATTTGTGATATGAGAATCTTTTCTCGCATCTATGGGTTCAAGTCTTTGGCCATTCCTTTCGTGTATACTTTAGGGCAAAGGATGCCATATTCATTCCATTATTAGGTTTAGGTTCAGGGGCACTCCTTTCTTGGCCTTTCGTTGGCCGAATGCCTTGTTAATTTTATCCTATGTTGTGTTCAGATTAAAGTCAATATTACTGATCTATGTATCACGTCGTAGGTATCAGTTTGTTCTGTTAAGAAGTCACTTCAGAAACATAGAACTGTGTGGCATATAAGATGGAAGATTCTGAGGGAAGTAACCCATATATGAGTACACTGGAGAGATTGGCCAGCAATGATTATATCTCCAACTTCAAAAGTTACGGGCCGTCTGGGGTCGCTGGTGCAGTTATTATTGCCATTATTATACCAATATTACTGTCCATGGTACTAATGGGGAAGAAAAAGGGGAAACAGAGAGGAGTTCCGGTTCAAGTTGGTGGTGAGGCAGGTCTTGCAATGCGCAATGCTAAGTCAGCCGGATTAGTTGAAGTTCCTTGGGAAGGGGCTACAACTGTGGCAGCTCTATTTGAGCAGTCTTGTAAAAAATATTCTAGTGAACGCTGTCTTGGAACTAGAAAACTAGTTAGCAGGGACTTTGTATCTGCAAGTGATGGAAGGAAGTTTGAGAAACTTCACTTGGGGGAGTATCAGTGGGAGAGTTATGGACAAGTATTTGATCGTGCTTGCAACTTTGCCTCTGGTCTTGTTAAGTTGGGTCATGATGTGGAGACTCGTGCTGCTATCTTTGCAGAAAGTCGTGCGGAGTGGCTCATTGCCTTTCAGGTATTCAAGTAGTATGCTAAACCAGTCCCTTATCTCTGTGTTCTTAATTACCGCGAGATCCAACAGTTTTCATGATCAAATTATTTTATTCAGGGATGCTTCCGGCAGAACATTACTGTTGTTACCATTTATGCTTCTTTGGGCGATGATGCACTTATATATTCACTCAATGAGGTGGGGAAGCTTTATTTTTTAGTCTATGTATGCATTGTTTCTTCATCTATTCGAGGCGTCATATGACGTGATGATTTGAATTCATCTGTGGCCATTGACAGACTCAAGCATCTACGTTGATATGTGATGCCAAGCAACTGAAAAAGTTGGCTGCTGTTAGTTCTAGCCTGGAAACCATCAAGAATGTCATCTATTTTGAGGACGAGACAGTGACAGATTCCACAAATATTGGCAGCTGGAGGGTGTCATCTTTCTCAGAAATTGAAAATCTGGGTAAAAATGGTTCTATTCAGCCAAGACTGCCTGTCAAGAAAGATACTGCTGTGATCATGTATACCAGTGGCAGTACAGGCTTACCTAAGGTTTGACCCCACTTTCTATTAATTCATTTTTTCCGATGTGAATGCAAGGAAAAAAAATATAGCCGTTGAGTATGCTTTTAGATGGTTCTTGTGGGATGTTTCTTATAGCTTCCCTAGTGGCTGAAACATTCTTGTTATTTAAGTGTTAAGATAACTTAAGCTGATAATAAACTTATGGGATTGTGAATCCGTTTAGCTTGGTGATCAATGCACTGAAAATTTGTTAATTCAAAAAGTTATCCAGGATGAGATGTCATCAGATCCAAGACATAAAGAGAAAGAAAAACAGAGTACTTTGATTTTGGCTTTCTGTAACTTATCGACAATCATAGTCTAGATTGCACTGTACCTTCCTCGATGTCTATCCCTCCACTGATGCTTGTTGTCTATTTTACTTTTGGCTTAAACCAACTGGCTTATTGTATATTTTATCCTTTTCATTAAGAAAAGGAGTACTGCTCTTAACTTATCCAAAAAAAAGGGAGTACTGCTCTTAATTATTCTCTTATCTATGTCCTATAGGGTGTTATGATAACTCATGGCAACATTGTAGCCACTGCAGCTGGTGTTATGAGTGTGATTCCAAAAATTGGAAGCAGTGATGTCTATTTGGCTTACCTCCCTTTAGCTCACGTCTTTGAGTTGGCTGCTGAGGTAATTCCTTAGGAGTTTATCTTTAATTTGCTTCATTGTGTTTTACCTATAAAATGAAGATTAGTGCAGTTCTAAGTGATTCTTGTTCTGCAGACTGTAATGCTGACTGCAGGTGCTTCTATTGGTTATGGCTCAGCTCTCACATTGACAGATACTTCTAACAAAATCAAGAAGGGGACCCAGGGAGATGCTACAGCTTTAAAGCCTACTTTAATGGCAGCAGTTCCAGCCATTCTGGATCGTGTTAGGGATGGTGTTATGAAGAAGGTTATCACAGTACCTTCCATTCTTAAGATCTCAATGAGAAAAAGCATACTTAGTTTAGTTTAGAGCTTCAAAAGATTCAATGGGGACTAACCTTTTGTTTATATTTTTCGTGACTCTAGGTTGAGGAGAAGGGAGGTTCTGCTAAGAAACTTTTCAACATTGCCTTTAACCGTCGATTGGCTGCTATCGAAGGTAGCTGGTTTGGAGCTTGGGGTCTAGAGAAACAAATATGGGATATAGTTATATTTAAAAAGGTAAGGGCAGTGCTTGGAGGAGATATTCGTTTCATGCTTTGCGGTGGTGCTCCTCTGTCAGGAGATACTCAAAGATTTATCAACATCTGTATGGGGTAATTCTTCTCACTCCTAATGATGGTCTGTATATTTTCTGAATATGTTCTACATGCTTGCAAAGATAAGTTTGCTTTCTTTTTAGCTCAATAACTGCTCTTAGTATGGCCGTATGTTTTTCCAAATGTGGCAAGTCTTTTTAACTTTAGAAATTTGATAACACTTACTGCAGAGCTCCTATTGGTCAAGGGTATGGACTGACGGAGACATTTGCTGGAGCTGCTTTCTCTGAGTGGGATGATCCTTCTGTTGGGCGTGTTGGTCCACCTCTTCCTTGTAGCTACATAAAGGTACGGTTACTTTGTTGTCACTAATCGATTTGAGAGCACCAGCTGCATTCAGTCATTTATGAAAAATCTTTGTGAAACTATGTTAGGTAATTGTTTTGAATAGATACTACTTGGGAAGTCTTGCAGCAAAAAAAAAAACCTTAATATGTCATTTTAACTTCATCTGTTAGTTTCTACCTTTTCCTTCTGTTTATATTGCTTGACAATCCTAAAATCTTCCCAGGTTTTTAATGATGCCATACTTTTGGTGTGCTTTTACCATAAGAATTTGAAGATAATTTTATAAATCTTCGCCAAATTTGTGGCAAAATAACCTGTGCTTTGATCTACAACTTCATAGTCATCTGTGGAGAAGAGAAAAAAGAAACTGCTAATAAGCCATACAAAAAAAGTTAGTGATTTAGAAATGTATAAGACATATTTCTGTTTCTTAACCTCCTTATTTTTATTTTTCTCTTCTTCCTCAACTTATGATTTTTCTGAGAAACAACAAACCAGACAAGGAAAAGGCATAACAAGGGAGAAAAACCAGGAGAAACTAAAGAGGACATTGCTATTGCTGCCTTTCCATACACCAAACGGTACATGTTTCTGTAAAATACTCCACTTCGCTAGCACGCACCAGCGTAAATATCCCACTACAATTGTCACGACCCCAAACCACCCCGGTCGTGATGGCGCCTATCGTAGTACTAGGCCAGCCGATTCGACATTTATAACATAAAAGGTCTTTTTCTTGGTTCATTTACTAATCAGATGTTATCACAAATCTTTCGTTTAAACATTTCAAAACAAGCGGAAACAAATATGCAAAACATCAAACACTGCCCGATCGCGGTGTCACTAGTCATGAGCCACTAAAATACAATCTGATACTGTCTACTCAATACAAGATGAGTATGATAAAAACAAATACTAAAGATAGGAAGGAGAAAGGCAGGGCTGCGGACGCCATGCAGCTACCTTGCTAACTCCGGAAATGATCGGAAAGAAGAAACAACTCTCACTCGGATGCTCTGGCACCTGGATCTGCACACAAGGTGCAGGGAGTAACGTGAGTACGCCAACTCAGTAAGTAACAATTATAAATAAAGGCCGAGTGCAGTGACGAGCATTTAAAATCATATACATATCATAACATAAAAACCTTAGTGGAAAATAACAAGATCAAATAAGTAATTAAATTCTGAACATCTAGTAAAAACTCCAGTTTCAATGAAAGTCGTTAAAACATTTGTTCAACATTTTCAATAGAGGCTCAGTATAAAGAAGAGTGAAAACAGTATTTTTTATAAAACAAGCCCCTCGGGCAAAGTATCACTCATATATATAGCCCCTCGGGCAAGCCTCTCAGTCACTCGTGACTCAACTCTCATCAGTCAACACTCACACTCAGCATTCACGCTCAATAGATATCCTATAATAACCGCTGCGTCGTGCAGCCCGATCCATAAATATATAGTCGACCGCGCTCACTGGGGGTGTGCAGAATCCGGAGGGGCTCCTACAGCCCAAGCGCTATATCGCTGCGGCGGCCCGATCTAACATATCACTGCGGCGTGCAGCCCGATCCAACATATCCTCACAATCCGGCCCTCGGCCTCACTCACTCATCAACCTCACAAGCCACTCGGGCATTTCAGTACAAACTCAGGGAACTCAGCCCAAAACAACTCTCATATATTAAAAATAGAGTGATGAACAAGATTAAACAATAAACAGGTATAAACCATGACTGAGGATAATGCTTTCTATCAAAAACAATGTGACGATAACAGTAAAATACCCCTGAGGGTCCAAACAGTAGGGCACAAGGTCCCAAACATGGCATTCAGCCCAAGTTAACAGAAGCATTTCTAAAACACATAGATATCATATAGAGTTTATCAAAATATGCAACTCTACAGTTGCCACGGGACGGACCAAGTCACAATCCCTACAGGTGCACGCCCGTCACCTAGCATGTGCGTCACCTCATTTATCAAGATAGTACAAAATTCCGGGGTTTCATACCCTCAGGTCTAGATTTACAATCGTTACTTACCTCAAACCGGACGAAAATCTACTCCGCGATACCCTTGCCGCTCGACTCGGCCTCAAATCGCCCCGAATCTATCTAAAATCAGAATCATATCATCAATACATGCTAAGGGAACAAAGCCCACGCGAAAATTATCATAATAAATCAAAATTCCCGAAATTGGCCAAACCCAACCCCCAGGCCACGTCTCGGAATCCGATAAAAATCACAACACTGAACACTAGAATCCTTACCTCTCAGGAGTCTATACATACCAAAATCATCAAAATCGGACCTCAAATGGCCCCTCAAATCCCCAATTTAAACTCTCCAATTTCAAGCCCTAATCTCCCAATTTTTTCCCTAATTTTCCCACTAATATCATGATTAAACAATGAAATAATCGCCATAAACACAAGATACAAGGCCCAAGTAGCTTACCTCACTGAAAACACTTGATTCCCTCTTGAAATCACAGCCCCCAAGCTCCAACTCGTCCAAAAATGGTGAAGAAAATGGCAGAAATTCGTGAAGATGGTCTTTTATACTTTGTGCCCAGCGATTTCGCACCTGCGGCCAATAATTCGCTTCCGCGGACCGCTTCTGCGGTCAAATCAAGCGCATCTGCGTTTTTCACTTAAATTCCCAAGACCGCATCTGCGCCCAGGCACCGTACCTGCGGTCCCGCAGATGCGCCCAACGCACCGCACCTGCGGTTCTTCTCCTGATGACCAAATCCCGCATCTGCGGTCTACATGTCGCATCTGCGACCTCGCACCTGCAGTCCCCAATCCGCAGGTGCGGAAATGACAGAAGCAGCAAAAATCAGCAGCATCAACTTAATGCAAATCCTTCCGTCAAGGCGTCAACCACCCAAATCCATCCCGAGGCCCTCGGGACTTCAACCAAACATACCAACAAGTCACATATCATCATTCAAACTTATACCAACCTTCGGAACACTCAAAACAACATCGAAACACCAACTCACCCTCGGATTCAAGCCTAAGGATTTCCAAACTTCCGAATTCCGCAAACGATGCAAAAACCTATCAAACCTCATCCGAATGACCTGAAATTTTGCACACCCATCACAAATGACACAACGGACCTACTCCAATTTCCGGAATTCCATTCCGACCCCGATATCAAGATTTCCACTGCCGACCGGAAAACTCCAAATTTTCAATTTCGTCAATTCAAGCCTAATTCTACCAAGGACCTCCAAATTGCATTCCGAATACGCTCCTAAGTCCAAAATCACCTAACGAAGCTATCCGAACCATTAGAATTCACATCCGAGACCTTCTACACATAAGTCAACATCCGGTTGATTTTTTCAACTTAAGCTCCTAAATTAGAGACTAAGTGTCTCATTCCACTCCAAGACCACTTCGAACACAGAACAACCAACACGATATGATGAAATATAGCTTAACAACACAATAAGAAACAGAAATGGGGAAAGCGGGGGCTGTAACTCATGAAACGACCGGCCGGGTCGTTATAACAATCATCCCAACTGTCGACTTTGCAAAGAACATCCCTTGAACCACTGTGTCCTAAAGCTTTGCCCACTCCCTCCATCCGAAGTTTTGAAATACATCAACTTTTTGTTGCCTTCTGAGTTCGGATCATTTTCCTAGGCTACCTTTAGTGCCTTCAGCCTATTACTATCTTTCCTGAGACAGCAGTACTACTAACCCATGTGATACTGAAAAGGTTATCTATTTAGTACTCGTATGATGCTGAAAATGTTAGCTATTTAGTAGTCGCTCTGTCCTTATTTATATAACAATGTTTTTATATTAAAACAACCAATAATGTTGACACTAGTTCACTATTAATCTAAGTTGCTCCGACACGGCAATTTAGGTGCCGCACCCGTGTCGACACGACACTAGTATGGGTGTGGGTATGGGATCCGTACCTGATCTGGTCAAATAATTTTGGGTACTTTGACCACGACGGACGGAAAAATTAAAGACGAGATACAATTTGATTCCCGAAATCTGAACCAAAACTGGGGTAAATTTGAAGAAAATAACATACCTTATCTAGGAAATCAATCCTTTACTTATCTACAACTTGAGAATAAAAATTATCCATACTTTACCAGCTATACGTAAGTATTCCATAAAATTTCTCATAATTTAGAGATATTTTTATATTTTTTTGAATTATTTTTAGCAGGATCCTTGCACCCGTATATGTACTAGGATCCGTTTCCCCGAATCTTAGAATTAACATCTTGAAGGATCCGACCTCTAGATCCGCACCCATGTCGGACACCTGCACCCGTGTCCGAGCAACTTAGCTATTAATACTATTATTCATACAATTTTCACAAGCTTCAAGATTCAAGTTAACTTAACTGTTTAGATTTAAACTCCATCAACCTAACTTCTCAGCCATTACTTTAATTTTTAATCAGTATTTGGGAATACAAAAGTCAAAATAATATTCTACTCTTATAATCGATGAAGTGGCGGCTTATATATTGGAGGGATGGAGTATTTTAGTTCTTCTGCAGTACCTTCTTGGTTCTGATTGTTGATGCTTGATAGAACTACCTCAGCTTGTCAGAAACAAAACCAGGAAAAAAGTACTCCATGAGTTTAGCTCTTTTTTTCAGCGTAACTAAAAGCTAAACTGATTAGCGCCGTGTTTTCATGGTTGATAAGTTGAATCTGGAACCCAACTTAAACTGGTCGACCACTCTGAAATGGCTTAATTTAGGGTCCTTACAAGGTTATTAAATTACTTTCCACTAGGCCCCTGGGAGAGGGTCATTGCGTGTTGGATAATTGTTCAATAGAGGAAATCTAGGTTTGCTTTTGACAACTAGGCACGGATGGGAGCGTTGGCTGCTTTTCCATGAACATGGGATAGTGGTTCCATTGGCTCTTCATGGGAGCTATATATTTCACAATAAAGCTGAGTTTTCGTGCTACCTTTATATTAAGATCGTATCGACTAGTTTTAGATAGTGGCCAATTTCAAAGCTTTGCCTCTACTTTTCCTGTTTGTTGTATTTATATACTATAAATACACATCAGCTCTGACAATGCACTGCATTAACGTGGAACCTAATGTGGCAGTTAAGAAATTTCTGTGAAGTTCAAATTTGGGCCATTTTCTCATATCAATATGCGCTGTATATAGTTTTTTTGGTACTCTGTTGGAAGAATTTTGGAACGTCTTAAAAAATCAATTTAGTCTTAGTTGTTTGGGGGGAAAATATATTCTCATGTTCCAAGTAAGATCTTATGCATAGTTGTTCCAAGAACTTAATTAACACATGCACTTGGCTTTTGTTAGATGGTTAAGGCATATACTTTGGCAGTCCTTCCAATGTCGTTGAATCTTCGGATGCCTTATAGTTTATAAGATCGGCTATTGCTTTCACACAGTTTCTCCGAAAATTTGCTTTCAATGAAGTTTCAAGTTTCAAATGTTGTCAGAGTGTTTTCCTGTCTGGAGACTTATGTGGTAGCCTATTAAAGGGAAATAGACCGATGGATAAAACTAGTTTCAATCATACATTATAGCTAGAAAGTGATAGTGGCTGTTCCCATTTCTGTATTTTCTTTCCTGATGCTGGTTTACTTGCTAAATACAAAGGAGTTAGCTGTTTTTGGTGGTACTGCATGTGGGTTTCTTACTTGAAGCCTTGTGTTAAACCATGCAGCTTGTTACTTGGGAAGAAGGAGGTTACACAATAGCTGACAAGCCTATGCCTCGGGGAGAAGTAGTTGTTGGTGGGTGCAGCATTACTGCTGGTTACTTCAACAATGAGGCCAAAACCAATGAGGTTTATAAGGTAGTTTTGACTTGTGAGATTTTGCTTATACAAATAGAGGAATTATGTATGTTGCAAAATTTATACGCTGCTAATATCTCTAATACAGGTCGATGAGAGAGGCATGCGCTGGTTCTACACTGGTGACATTGGAAGGTTTCATCCTGATGGATGCCTTGAAATTATTGATAGAAAGAAAGATATTGTTAAGCTTCAGCACGGGGAGTATATCTCACTTGGAAAGGTATTCACAATTTCTTTTATTCACATGGAATCTAATGTTTCCCTTAGTAGCATAACCAGTTCCTAGTAGATTCGTCGCTTCATCCTATGATTGGATATGATATTAGAGTTTTGGTGTGTAACTTAGCCTTCTTCCGTTCATGATCATGAAACTGTACAATACGTGGCAGAAGCGGAGACGAAAAACACGTATCATACATGGGCCTTTTCTTTTTCTGTTATTTTGGGCTCTTAATGAGTTTCTGGTTCCCGTATATCTCCTCCTATTTATTTTATCCTTAGGTCTTGATTTTGGGCAATAACCAGATAAATTGATGCTCAACTCACAGGTTGAGGCAGCACTTCTATCAAGCAATTATGTGGAGAGCATAATGGTTTATGCGGACCCCTTCCACAATTATTGTGTAGCTTTAGTTGTCCCTTCACGCCAGGTGCTTGAGAAATGGGCCCAGGAAAATGGCATCCAGCACAAAGATTTTTCCGAACTGTGCGACAAAGGAGAAGCAGTCAACGAGATCAAGCAATCGCTTTCAAAGGTTCGTTTCCTTTCCATGGAATCAATTTGTAATCACTGTAATGTATTAATTTGGAGAAAGTATTGGCCTTTCTTTATTCTGAAAATGCATTATGTATGATAAATGAATGTTATGCTGACTGTGGATAACATGAAAGGAATATGATGACACAATTCGGCGAAGTTTTGAAATGCTAAAAAAAACAAAACACGTTTCCTCCAAATTATGGTGCTAGTCTCAAAGTCCCTTCCCCATCGCTTCCGAGTAAAATGATGAATAGTATAGTAGAATCAATTGCTAACTTTAAAAGGAATCCAAATGTGTGTATATGTTAAAAAGAACAGAAAAGCGGGAAGAGAATCCAAGAAAATAACAAGAAAGAAAAAACTTATAGAAAACATAAAAAAGAAATAGAAAAGTAAATGTTTTAACTTAAACAAAAAGAAAGAAATAACCGACCTTTACCACCTCTTGCCTCTCCCTTACTAACCATATTCCAGCCATTACTGATTACCATTTCAGCCCTGACAAGTAACCCAGAGTTCAGACCCTGCCACAATGGCTCACCTTGCCTTCCCCTCTATGGAATTAAATTCCCCTGGTTTGGTTGGGATGATATTCCATCTCTCAGAAGTAAAAATTATCCTTGCTCTTGTTTCCGTAGAATATCCAGGGTTCACAAGCTAATTAAGAAGTTAAGGTTACCAGCCTCTGCTGCTGATCTATTCTGGGCTGTGCAAATAATGAGTGAAATTTTTCTCCCAACAGCAGTTTACCTCTGTTCTCATGTAAGTAATAAGGTGTGTGTATATGTGTGTGAGAGAGAGTCTCTTATTGAGCAGGGTGAAACGGGGTGAATGGATGTCTATGTCAAAATTATTTTCCTCGTATATTGGAAGTTTTGGTTTTATAAATGACTGATATGCAGGTAGCAAAAGCTGCAAAATTGGACAAGTTTGAGCTTCCTGCAAAGATCAAGTTAATACCAGAGTCTTGGACTCCCGAGTCTGGATTGGTTACTGCAGCTCTGAAATTGAAGCGAGAACCCCTGAAGGCTCGATATAAGAATGAGCTAGAAAAGATGTATCAGTGAATGATTTTTAATTCCCTGCCAAGTGATGCTCCATTTTGCAGATTTATATATCTGTTGGCAGTTAAACAATGGTCCTTTCCAAGATAAGCACAAGTTTTCCTGTTGAAGCGCAATTACTCGTCTCATTTTGCTGTTGTATTAATGTCAAAGCTACTTATGCATCTTGTCCATATGCTTGTTCCTTTAAGGAATGAGGTATACTGGATTTTGTACTAAGCGTAAAAAGGCAAAACTCACCAGATTCAATTTTGCGGCAGGAAAGCTTGATAAAGTTATTTGTTGTATTGAGCTTCAGGTAAATGAAAATCTGTTCCCTCTATCAGTTAGAGGTATACACTAGACTCTTTGATTGTTAATCATATCTCAAATAGAAGCAAATTTAGTTATTTGCTTGCATTCTCTCTAGTATTTCTTAGTGTAGGACCATCTAAAATCATTTTAATTAACCTCTAATTTACTTTTCCCCCTCTCTAATATATCCATTTAAACTTGGAGGTTAAACAAATAGATCGATTTTTTCCTTGGAACCAATTTAAACGTTGATCATGAAATGTGCATCTAGGCTTGTTTTTCCTTGTTCCATCTTAAATCATCTTGTGTTTTTCCCATGAAACAGAGTAGGACGTATTCGATCTTTTTGTCTTTTATAATAAAGTGTTTTGCGGCTCTTTAAATTGTTTGGTATTAATTTTCTTTTTGATTTTGATTAGAGTAATCTACACGATACGCCCACTAGAAATGCTAGTTAACTTCACATACCTTTGAAATATTTATTTTACCTTGTATACTTACTTTATAAAAGTTTATTATTTTTAAACTTTTAATATCATTATATGCCATTAAATAAATTCCACCTTTTAAGGAACTAAATTATCTCTCGCTCCAACTTATTCCCTTAAAACACTCCATCATCCCACGTTTTAAGGATTGAATATTATACATGTTCACCAAAAAGTTCAAACCCAGGTAGTTTCTCTATGAAGTCCTCATAATCTTGTTCTTCTCTTTCATCTATGTAATCAAAAGAAAAAAAGAAGTGAAAATGTTCTAATTAGGAATATAGTATGTCAACTAAATAAAGTATTAGAATATGCTATTCAAACCAATAAACCACAATATCCCAATGAAAAATACAATATTCAAATTAAACAACTATAATATTCTAATTTGGAATACAATATTCAAATCGAACATAACACAATATTCTAATTTGGAATACAATATTCAAATCAAACATACGATAATATTCTAATTTTGGGTATTGTATTCAAATCAAAAATACCACAATATTCTCATTTGGAATGCAATATTCAAATCAGATTTTTCAAATTAAAATATTTTAAATTAGAATATTATAATATTCGATCAATGTATTACAGATTAAATTATTATGGTATATTTAGTTTGAATAATATATTCTAAATTAGAATATTGTGATATGCTTGATTTAGATATTATAATTTTTTTTGGTAAATAGTGACTTTCTATTCATTCCAAAAAAACAGCTTTACAAATCAGGTAGATACTGACCATCTATGTCTCTATCTTCTAATTATACTAAGTCTGATGCTCTAATGTCATCTCTACTGTGTTGCTATTTACATCAGCTTAAAGCTTCATCTACCTAGGAAAGACAACATACAGAGGCCTTTTGCATATTTCAAACCTATGATCCTAAAGGAAAATAGTCTAATTCTTGTAATGCTCCTTGCCAGCTCTTGATTGTCCTCCCTCTGGTATGTATGTGCATTACTATCTCTCTACAGATATTGTTTTCTTTGAGTATTACCCCTTGAAATCTAATCACATTCCTTTCCCTCCAGATTGTGTATACCAGCATACCAAATACACATGTAACAATTGCCCAGTGACCAGATTTCTTCTTTGCAGCCCTGTTGATCCATTGGACCTCCTCCCGCCAAGCCTGAATAGGCCTAGGATGGCCTAGCCATTTGAGTAGCTTGGTCCATATTTCTCTTACTTTAGGACAGTCAAAAAATAGGTGTTCAAATAGTTCATCAGATTGCTTACAGAAAACACAAGTCTGAGACACTTGAACTCCAAATTTGATGAGTCTGTCCACAGTTGCTAATCTTCTCTGTAGTGCCAGCCATAGTATGAATTTATACCTAGGATTTAGATGAGGTTGCATAGTGATACTATTCCAAGGTACCTTTTGTAGTTGAGGAAACTGCATATGGTATAACTTGCTGATACTGAACTTCCCTCCTTTTGTATTTGAACAAGTCTGTGGATCAGATCCCCCTGAATTCCTTGTAATTCAAGAACAAGGTTTCTTGTCTCAATTATCTTCCTGACCACCCAAGCAACATTCTTGGGTATTGGACTGCTCTCCACTGTCCTGTTTCTGATATAGAAGGTGTGAACCCATCGAATCCATAAACTGTCCTTCTTCATTATAATTGCCCACAGGTGTTTTGCAATTGCTGCTTTGTTCCAGTAGTACATGTTAATTACATTAAATCCACATGCAGCTTGTGGCCAGCATACTCTGTCCCAAGCAACTAGTGCTTTCTTGGTGATAGTTGCTGTACCAGACCATAAGAATGATCTACATATGGCTTCAATCATCTTCAATATCTGCTTAGGCAGCAAAAATTTTTTAGCCCAATATGATTGTACCCCAAACAAGACTGATTTAATTAACTGGAGCCTACCAGCATATGAAAGCAGTTTTGCTGTCCAACAGTTGATCTTCTGTGTAATCTTCTCTACTAATGGCCAACATTGGATGATAGACAGCTTCTTGGATGCTAGTGGTACACCTAGGTACCTTAATGGCAAAGTACCTTCAGAGTACCCCAATTCTTGCATAATGTCTTGTTTTGTGCTGTCTGAAATACCTGCTAGGTATATGGAGCTTTTTTATGCATTTGCCTGGAGGCCAGATGAGCTTGAGAACTTGAGAAATGTCTGTTGCAGTAGTCTGATAGATGTAATGTCAGCTTTACAGAACATCAGTAGATCATCAGCAAAACAAATGTGCATTGCTCCCAGTTTCTTACACCTTGGATGGAATTTGAAGTTCCTGTTCTTTATCAGCTGTGCAAGTTCTCTTTGCGGATACTCCATGGCTATGACAAACAAGTAAGGAGACATAAGGTCTCCTTGTCGAATACCTCTTCTTCCTTGAAATGGTTTTGTCAGTCCTCCATTCATATTGAGGGAGTAGGTCACTGTAGTGATGCACTCCATTATCCAACTGACAAATTTATAAGGGAAACCAAGCTCTAGTAGCATTTTTTCAAGGAAGCTCCATTCTAAGGTATCATATGCTTTCCTGAGGTCAACTTTTATAATACATCTTGGGGAGATCCCTTTCCTGTTATTTAAAAAGCTCATGAGTAAATAAAATGTTATCTGCAATGCTTCTTCCTTCAATGAAGGTTGTTGTGACTCCCCAATGAGGTCTCCTATTACACTTTTTATTCTGTTGGTGAGTACTTTGGTTATTATCTTGTATAGAGTGGTGCAACAAGCTATAGGTCTGAACTCTTTTACTTGGCTGGGGCTAGGCACTTTTGGAATAATAGTGACTGCTGTACAATTCATGCCTCTATGCATTTTGCCTGTTTCAAAGAATTCCTTGACTGCGGTACATACTTCAACCCCAACTATATTCCATTATGATGTGAAGAACTCAATTGGAAAACCATCTACCCCTGGGGCTTTGTCATGAGGCATATCCTTTATAGCTGCTAGGATTTCCTCATTTGTTACATTTTTAACTAGTGCCTACTTCTGTTGTTGGTCCAGACATCTCCCTTGTTTAATCACTGCAGTATCTGGACATCTATGGGTTCCTCCACTTTCTCCCATAAGATTTGTGAAGAAAGATATAAACTCTTCTTCTATTTGGACTGGATCAGTTAGCTTAATACCACTTGCATTGTAGATGGATGCAATGTGGTTTCTGCTTGTCCTCATTTTCCATTGAGCATGGAAGTATTTGGTGTTTGAGTCTCCACATTCAATCCAAATGGCCCTTGACTTCTGCTGTAATACCTGTTCTTCTATATGACTCCATTTTTCCAGTTCTGTCAAGACTTCTTTTTCCTGATTGAACAAGCTCCGGTTCAGAGGAGAATTTTTGAGTTCTCCCTGTATTACCTCTAGTTTTTGACTAGCCTGATCAATTCTCTGTTGGTAGGAGGCCATAAATTTGTTCAGGTCCTTAAGTCTGCTTTTGAGTACCTTCAATTTCTTCCAGATTTTGCTCATGGGTTCTCCTTGAGTTCTATGCTGCCATACTTCTTGCACTATGTCCTGAACTCTGATGTTCCATGACATTTTTGTAAAGCTTGAAAGGTTTAGGGTGCAATCCTTTTTTTATGTTGACTGATATGTATTAAGGATTGGTGAGTGATCAGACACTCCTGGTCCAAAAAATTCAGCTTCTATGTGGCTAAATTGTTGCAACCACACATAGTTGCCCATTGCCAATCTATCTTGTTTGTAAACCCTTTTATTTCTGTTTGTTTGTTGCACCATGTAAAGAACCAGCCAACACTTTTTAGTGGAGTCAATTGCAGCATATCAACTAAGTTTTGAAAGCCTTGTGTCTCTGATTGAGTGACTGGTGCTCCTATTCTGTCCTCTGAGGTTAACACATTATTAAAGTCCCCACTTAATAACCAAGCATCCTGTACATTTGTTCCTGCTTGTGCAAGTTGATTCCATAGCTGATGCCTGAGAGTTACATCATTCCTGGCATACACCACTGTTAGCAGTGCTTTGAAACTATCCTTCTGCACCTCACAATGTATATATTGGTCTGTAGTCTCAATGATCTGGATATTTACATTGTTCCTCCACATAAGCTAGATTCTACCATTTGGGTGGTCTTTATAATTACAACAAACATTCCAGTCCCTGGCCACCTTCTGTATGATTCTCCCAGCTTTCCTCTCCTTTACTCTTGTTTCTACACATCCAATTACATCTATTTTGTACTTATTCAGAAAGATTCTTAGCTCTTTCTGTTTAAAGGGCTTGTTAAGCCCTCTTATATTCCAAGTACAGATGTTCATTGGTGGGAAGAGCTGGTTGGCCCAACATCCCTTGGTTCCTGATCTGATAGTTGCTTTTGTAGGATTGCAAACCTATTGCTAGAGGTAGTTGCAGCAGCTGTAGTGCCTCTAACAATGGTAATCTGTTTTCCTTGCCCTGTTCCTATCTTGCTGAAAGCCATGTTTGGATTTTCTATAGGATCTTGATTGTTAATGGCATGTACTCCTTCAGTTGTGACCATTCTCACCTGCTCTTCTTTCTGAGTCCCAAATGATTCTGCCTCATTTGAAGAAGAGGCATGTATCTTCTGCACCCATTGTTGAGTGATTTGCTTCTTTTTCCTGTTCCTTCTTCT